GAGCAAATGCAAAGCGGGGTTTCGTTGGAGATGCTCTACTTCGGATAGGCTCGTATCGCGGAGATCTTCTTCTAGCTTGGACACCCACACGTTCCATGGTACGAGAGGAACTTGAAGTTCCTCGCAGATTGGCTCGAGGTACATTCGCCATGGTATAGGTCTTGGGTTTACGAGGTGGAGGATTGGATGTTCGCTGTGACGCATCTGAGCGACTCCTTTTCCAGCGTCGTATAATGGCAACCATGAGATGGGTCCCTCCTGTTCAATTATGAGCATGGGGGATAAAAACAGATGATGCGCCACTTACTCCTGAAACATCTGGAAGACACCCAACGGACAGAGCTGACTTGACGATCGAGGGGAACCATTCCCTCTCGTTCCAATAGCCTACACGATTACCGCTGAGTTGTCCCACACGAACTACAACGGTAGGTAATCCTGTCTCCTTAGTCGCTTCGTTCAAGATGTGTTCGCAAACCCATTTAGACTCTGCGTAGCCCTGTCCTAAGGGAACCGAGGCTTCGTTGACAAGTTCTTCAGGTGCGATTGCACGAGAGGTGGGTTCTGCGAAGGAGTAAAATTAGGTACAACCTTTCATAGAAAATGAATAATTAAATACTTACGTCTGAAGATTCCGATGCTACTTATGAAGAGCAGACGAGGGGGATCGACGAAGGGCGAGGACAGGGCAAAGTCGACTAGGTTACGCGTTCCTTGAAGATGCTTCTCGAAAGAGATGATATTCAAATTGAAGTCGACAGGCCATGCTATCAAGACAAATATGAGACCGATAACCCCATATAACTCTACGAAATTGTACTAACCGTTGTGAATGATGTGGGTAACAGAGTTGCGAACCTATAAGGAAGGGTAAGGACTGGAACTTATGATTGGACGACTCAACCGCACTCACCTCTTCGAAAGTTGATTTATCAAGGCCGAAGAATGGCTTGGACATATCACCCTCAAGGAGATGATACTTCGGATACCGCAGACAGTCCTCAAGGATACCATGTTTGACAAAAGCATCGACTTGACGTTGGACAATAATTTCAGATGGTCGATTGAAGGCGTAGATCTTGCGGACAGTGGGGTCCTTGGTAAGATGTGCTACCAAATTGGCACCGAGTCCCTCCAGTGGTCCCAGTCAATAATATAACATCACCTGAGCTCGTACGAGGGGAGAGAGTAGCAGGCCGTGCTGGGAACGATGTAGTAAATCGCTTTCACAGGTATCTTGGAGTTTGCGAATGTGGGAGACACTAGGGTCGGCACCGTCCTTAGGACGTAGAGAGAGGGCCTCCATGATCAGATTGCTAATGCCAGAAATAGTCGGTGCTTGATATACAAAGTTTGGGGACAGTTGGCGAGATGCTTGCAGGTCATGCGTCTTGATAACAAGGAGTACTTTGTTACGAATCCAGGTTGCTTGGAGACTAGACAACAATGAGGAGTGCTCTGGTTGAGCTCAGTCTGATGGCTTACCTGTCACATCCGCATTGGAAAATGTCGACATCATCCGGAACTTCCTTGTCTAGGACTGATGTGACAACGGTTCTAACGAAAGTCTGAATAGATTGTGCGTCAAAGCTGTTAAGTTCGGGTGTGTCCATCGTGGCCGATCTTTCGACTTCCTCATAACACGCATTAATCTCGGCTTCGTATGCATTGAGTATAACACCTCGTCGTGTCGATCCTTTGGCGGTGTACATGAATGGTTTGTCAGGGGACGTGACCAGGATCATCTCCTTGAATAATCTCGAATGCTGAGGGGCATAGTCATTCAGGCGTTCCACAGTTGGCCTAACAATGAAGATGCGTTGATTAGGATGGTCGTAAGATTTTTGACTTCCGAGAGACGTACCATATCAAATTCCTGAAGGCAGCTAATTTGGTATGGTCCTCGGGATTAAAGCTGTGTTCCTCTGTCGGCTCCACGAGAACACCGTTGTAGGGACGCCCACGGCCAAACATGATCGCGCCTTGGATATGAGGGCTCTGGAGCAAGATTTTCTCGAGGGGAACGGGGTTGGTCTAAGATCATAGTCAGTACATGGATCATCTCTGAATTGTGTGATACACACCTTTTCACCGGTGGAAAGCATGATTTGCTCGTCTGTTCGTCCAAGGATCTTCCAGTATCCTTTCTTCGTGGGGTGGGGAACCACTAAGTCACCGGTAGCATATGCTTTGCGTCCATTATACTCAGTGTTTGTAACAGGAGGGGACCACCGCTCATCGGCCTATTTTATGAGAACGATTAGACTGTTTCGATTACTGCGAAACAATGACTCACATATGCAATCAGTTCGAATTTTCCTTCATCACGAGGCTGAATCACGATGTTTGCTTGAGGGTTCAATTGATAGAAGTCCCAGTCTTTCCCGACCGTGTCTAGACATTGTGTGAGATGCGAAGATCACAAATTATACGGATAGTGTTACTTACTTGGGAATATCATATTCATAGCACCTGTCTCGGTCCTATGTATGCATCATGAGGCGGAGAAAAAAAAACAGGACGTAAGAGGGGGGGGGCTTACAGGCCATACATCTGACACAAGGATACACCTGCATTAACCAGGTAGTCGCCGACAGCCTTGGACAGAGGTCCGCCGCCAAAGCACTAGATAAATACATACTAGTAAGCGGTGTTTCGAAGAGAGCCTGAAGGTGACTTACCACTCCCTTGAATTTCTTCAAGAGTGTGACTTTCTCTGGCTCTCGAGACCATTCCTAAGACACTGGTTAGCGATGTATACGGTGTAGAAAAAATTGCTAACAAATTTCACCTCGATGATAGAAGGAACGATGCAAAGAAAATCGTTGTCGGTCTTTGAAGCAACGTCTAAGATATTATCAGGTGTCGGAGCTACCGCTGGGGAGTGAGGCTTATATGAGGAGATTGTGGAACCTGACATGGCCTTTTCGAACGAGTGAGATTTTATTATAGAATTATGCGGAGTGTAACGTACCCCAATAGCAATAAGCATCACTCCCATTGCATGATACACGGGAAGACCGTGGCATCCAAGGATTAAATCGGCCAAATCTACTTCGCCATAGTCTACGCATATATTTATATTTTTTTAGAATTGTGCAACGATGAGTTATTATTAACGGGGCTTACAAGATGTTCGTGAAATTTCCAGTAAATCGCGGTGGGTCCATGAGATAGGCTTTGGGAATGCCGTGGTACCTAACAGGAATCATTAGGCTTTGAAGTCGAGAGGGGTCGTCGAAACATACCTGAGGAATGGAGGATCATAGCAACGGAGCTCAGGTCGTACTCTATTTCAGGGAAGCTGGCCTGTTCATGATCGACTCGAGAAGAGTACAAATCGTCGAAGAGCGGCATAGAGTACTTCTGAATGGCAACAGACTTCTCACCCGAGTCCAGCAGAGATAGCGATTTCTCTGCCAATGTCTGGATACCTGTTTCAGAGCCGGTTAAAAGACCGACCGCCTCGGTCTTGCGCAGGAGGTGAGCAACGGCATCCGCCCCATTTCTTGGAGATATCATAAATGGCACGAATCCAGCACGAACGGCTCCCATTACGGTAGTGTAGAATGTGATAGTGTCTAAGTTTAATGTCAATGATGTCATCAAAAGGCCAGGGTTGTGTTAATATTCACATACCTGACGACGCTAAGATACCAATTACAGGCCTTTCTACAGGCCGTTTATTAAACAATCCAGTAAAGTAGTGAGCAGCACGGTTAAATCCTCTTTCCGCATTCTGCCAGACGATGTATCGGGAGGACGCGGTAACATCGTCGTGATAGACGAAGAGAGGATGCTCAGGGCTATTCTGAGCGATCCACTTGTAAACGTCCGGCAATGCAATGTCTCCTCGACTAAGTACCGCGTGAACGGACTTGAAAGTCTCGGAATGTAGAGACTGAGTGTTTGGCAGTTGCAGCGAAGACATTGTAAGACGAGGGTCGATTCGATGGGTAGATAAGAGTTGGTGATAGCGTTGGTGATAGTGTTGGTGATAGTGTTGAGCTGAAGGGACTTATATAGTCTCCGAAGTGTGAACTTAACCTACCTCCAGTTGATCCAAATTCGCCCGCTGAAGCTTTGTTGCCGATAAAGAGAGCGCTGTACGGAAAGAATACTTTCCGTAGCTATCTTCTAGATGACTCTGCCACTCATTCCCGCCACTATTCCATAGTGCCATCTGCAGAGTGACAATCGCATTCCACAAGAAGTAGAGCTCGCACTCATGTGGCTTAGGAATGAGTGCACTTCATGGCGAATGAGAAGTGGATTAGTAACCGGTGGATATAGATAGACTCGGAATTTGGTTGAGTAGAAGGCGACCACGCACCGAAGAAAACCGAAGATGGTGCAAGTCCTGCGAAGCCGCCAGCCGGGACCGTACCACGCCTGACGAAGCTTACAACCCGCAGGTCAGTTATGTCATGAACCATGCACTCAAGTGTTTCATGGTGTGGGCAATTGTCGTACGCAAGAGGGGAGCTTCTCACTACGCTATTTTGGGGCTGAGTTGCTACTTCAACCGCGGTTCAAAATAACATCTCGGTGATACACCTTGGTCATATGTCATTTTTACGGGGTAAACCCTGTTCTAGCATTGAATTGGGGATCATGGTTAGGGATCCTAGGCGGTACATTGACTTGGAGCAGTTAGGCTCAACTTTGCCATTCTGGCTTAGTGACGTAGAGTGAGTGACACGATCTATCCGATCCGAACGTCTTGAATGTGAAAAGCAAGCCCCGACAAGCAGTTCGGATTCACCGATCGGACCCACACCGAGGTGAGTATGTAGGACGGACTTCCGAGCCTCGAGTTGTTTCAGGATTGGTCGCTTTTAGATTTATGTACGCTTGAGCTCCTGAATGGACCAGAGGACATCCAGGCTCGCAGGAGAGTTCAATGACCTTTTTTTGGTGTCAAGGATCCCCGTCGGTCACTGGCCGAAGTGCCTATGGACGTAGACGCTCTGGAAAATCATGTGCATAGAAAGATTATGGCCGGGATAGCTCAGCTGGGAGAGCAACAGACTGAAGCCTATTTGGTATTCTGGAGGTCCCGTGTTCAATCCACGGTCCTGGCATTCAGTTTTTTCGCATCATCGTGAACGTTTCTATTGCAGTTTCTTGGTGCTGTTTTTATGTCGGCGTTGCACAAAATATTCCCTGATCATATATTCATAGCAAGTAGGGTATACTACAACGGTTCTAGTAGCGATACTGATTTGAAGACGAGAAGGTCATGAATGTATGTAGATAGCAAACGAGCGAACACAGGTCAGTGTATTCAACAGGCAACAACAAGGGACAGACGCGAAGAAAGAAAAAAGATAGACAACAAAATAAATAAATAAAAGTGAACCAAGGATAAATCCAGTCCAAACTAAAATACCACAGGAAAGGCCCAACGTACAGAATAGAAAGGTGTGAATTATATGGGAAAATGTCTACAAAGCACGAGCGCCTGTGTATGTCGAGTATGTACTTCCTCGCCATGACGGGTCTGGGTCATGACCCGATCGCTGAAGATGATCGCCTGGCATATCATCATGAGCCGTTCTGTATGAGGAATCACTAACACCTCCATGCACATGGTCTATCCGCTGGGCCATCAGATCTTCTGACGGCTGGCGGACATGCATCTCAAAGGCGTCTGGAGGTGGAGGTGGAGAAGCATGTTGATACGATGAGGGTGCGTATGAAGTGGTTTGTGAAGGTTGAGAATATGGAGTAACGGGATTTGGTGAAACAGATGACATAGAGGGGCCTCCGGATTGAGGATAGCTAGGGTGAATTTGTGGTTCGGGTGAAGATATAGGAATTTCAGAGGCAGAATAGTAGGATCCTCGGAATGAGTATGGTGACGCAGTTGCGGTTCTTTGTTCCGTGCCTCCTGACCTAGGAACCGGCGAAAGATGATTATAGGCAGAGTGCAACGGCTCTTGAGACGGCGATTGTACTTCGTGGATAGGCGTAAGGGGAGCGCGAGGGGAAGCAGAAACAGAACTTGGGTTGCTGCCTCCGGCCGTAAGTCCTCCCAGTTCAATATCGTGTTGGATAGTAGAGAGTTCGGACTCAGAGCGAGCGTGCGGATGATGGAACATTGGTGCTTGTTCAAGCCTTCCTTTGTTTTTCCGCCCGTTACGATGCTGAAGACCTAAACGATCTTTGAGGTCTCCCTTGACCCACATTTCGCGTACAATGTCCTTGTCCAGCGGGTAGTAGGTCGCAGTGAGGAATTTGATGATGAATCGAGGCCCTGAAGCAGGAAGAAGAAGAATTGAGCACTCATAAAGTATTATGCTTATGTGCATGTGACTTACCAAGTGCAATGACGACGGATGCGAAGACGGTCAACCAGAAAGTGGTGTTAGTGCAGAGCACGATAACTTCGTCAACGAAGTCGCTGCTTTCGAAGAATGAATAGATCACAATCCACACAAGCATAATAATCGACGATCCTAAGATAATGATCCACGTGAGGAAGGTCCAACTATACAGCGATATGAGCATGACGATCACGATATCTTGTGGTGGGACTCACTAATGTATGTTCATACCAACGAAGGTGTTTGCAGCAAAGATCGCGGCGACGGCCACTGTGGTTCCGAAGTCCGCCAGAGACTCGATAGCTTTACCATTCCACGATACAGCAGAGCCAAAGGTCCAGACAGCGTATGGGATGAAAAAGACAACTGCGGATTGGTACAGGCCGTCCAGCATATAAGTCCAGAACTTGGTCTTCGTATACTCAAGCCCACGGATACCCCGCACATACAATTGAGGGAATGCCAGCGCGGCTTTGGCGTTGATATCCTGGTCGAATGCTATAATGCAGGATGGATGAATATAATACTCTGCGTTCTTAAAAAAACAGACTTACCACCAAGAACGATAACAGGGAGCGAAGTGAACACCAAATTGTACAGGAGGACGAAGGTATACTGGTATAGATATGTTGCGTCAAAGCTATTGCCCAGCTCTATCAAGTCGCTAATACTCCGCAGACTGTAATGGTTAGACATACCTATTGAAAATCAGGAACCAGAACATAGCGAAGGTCCAGATAACATTCTACATCGCAATGAGAGCTAGTTCACGGCGAGTTTAGCAAAGAGATAATATACCTTGTAGAAGAAGTTACTGTGCATGTCTGCAATTCGTTGATAGGACCATCGACCGTGAACAAGCAGAAGTTTCGTCAAGAATCGGAACTGGCCGAACGCGTAGTCAGCGGACATAGCAGCCTGTGAACCTTCATATCCTAGAAGTCCGCATCCGATGTTGGCTTCTTGAATCATGGCGACATCGTTAGCACCATCGCCGATGGAAAGCGTCATAGCATTTCTTCCCTCTTTAACCTAGAAGTGGATTAGATGACATCAGTAGTGAAGTATGAGTAAGTACGTACCAAATTTACAACCAACGCCTTTTGAGCAGGTGAAACTCGACAGCACACAACAGTTTCGCATTGCGTAGCAAGGTTGAGGAATAACGGTTTGAGCTGAGGGGAAAGCGCATGACGGAGAGTGTCACCGTCGATGACAACTGCGAACGCGGCTTGTGCACCAGGGACAAATCCTCTCTTGCGAGGGTCAAGGGTAGGGGTTCCAAGTACTGAGGCAATCTTGTTGAGACCACCTTCGATCTGTAGACGTGCCGCATCCATGTTATCTGCCGATAGGATCATGATCTCCATGTCGCTCTTGAGAAGGTTGCAACTGAAACCAATTTCGATAGCAGTCTGTACTTTGTCACCTTAGAATATCATTCTTCAGTAAACAATATTTCGAATGAGATAGCGAATTCAACAAACCTGTCAAGATCCACAGCTTGATACCTGCGTTGTGTAACGTCTCAATAGCCTCCGGAACACCTTCCTGAAGTTTGTCTTCCAATGCCGTGGCGCCGAGGATATGCAAGGAGTGTTCGATCTTTTCGCTTGCCTTATCGACTTCCTCGTCTCGATCGGTGACCGAATTGCGAGCTGCGTCATAGGCACGTTGCCAGTCGATGTACTCTTGCTCGGTCAGGATACGGGAAGCGATACATAGGGTTCGTAGACCACTGTTGGCGAACGACTCCATGTCCTTGGACGTTTTCTCCTTGATCGTGGGATCCTGATCCGCTGCCAAACGTTGGTAGATGACACTATCTGCACCCTTGCAGTACAAAATGATTTGGCCTTGCGGGTTTCGGACGATGACGCTCATTCGCTTGCGCGTACTGTTGAACTCGATCATTTCCAGGAAGATGTATCGTTCCGCTTGTCCCATAACCTCGATATCGATTCCCTCCCTTGTCTTCTGTACGAAGGGGAAGCCAACGTCACGAGCGGCAGCTACCAAAGGCGGCCTCATCAGGAGACTCAGCCTTGTAGTCTAGATGGAATGGTTTGTTGGTCGCGTCAGGACGATCGGAAAGAACACTGTGACAGATAGCAAGTGCGCGGAAGAAGGCAATCAGGTGCGACCGTTGCTCTGAGGATCGGTCTGCAAGATCGTCGGCAAGTCTGGGTGAAATCAAGGTGACCTTTTCGGGCTGCAAGTATCGATTCTTGAAAGTACGAGACATGGTATCTAGCATCTTACTCTTCATGACTTGAAGCCTGCGGTCCATTTCTTCGGGTTCTATTTCCGTCTTACCCTGGCGCAAGGACTGACCGCGCTGGGCCTCAGTAACGCCTTCGCCGTAAGGGATGCCATTGACTGAGCACTTTTGGAACTCCATAATGTTCTGTGTCAGCGTGCCCGTCTTGTCAGAGAAAATGTACTCTATCTGGCCTAGGTCGTCCGAAATATTCCACGTCTTGGGTGTACAGGCCGCGTCGAATGGCTTATAGTACATGTCGATATCTTGTGAAATAAAGAACGCCTGGATCGTCTTGACGATTTCGATAGAGATGTACAGTGAAATCGGCACAATATTCTGGAAGGCAATCAAGCATGAACTGAACAAGTGACGTCAGCAAGATTAGGTGATGTGAAGATATACTACCCACGTGAAAGTGACCACGGCGTTAACAACCGAAGAAGTGGACACTTCAGCACCTCGCTCGAACACCTTGGCGCTTGTAAGGGCCTTGTTGTCGAGAATGCCATTGGCAATAGCAGAAAATAGACACATGCAAAGTAAGATGACGAAATTGACGATGACGTTGAAGTTGGTCTCCTTCTCGATCTTGGATCGCTTTGATGGTGTATCACCACCGTTGAGCATGATCTTCGAATCAGCACCAGTAAAAACGACGAGACCAATAATCCAGGCAGTGTTCCGAACTGTACATCCACGAAGCAGGAGTTCATTGATAGTGACTGACTCCTGTTTCTGCTCGCCGGTGGCGGGATCAGTGTATCGCAAGACGCCATGGTAGAGATATAAATTCTGATGAGGGGGCTCGGAGTCGAGAACAAATGAAATCCGTTCGGTATCGTCTTCGGAAACAATGGTCGAAGTTGCGCGAACAGATTTCCGCGGTTTCAAATTAGTCTCGCCGTCCAGGTTCTTCGTCTCGAGGTAACACACGTTGTCGGGATCAGAAGTCGACAGGACGACAATGTCTGCAGGAACCTGTTCATTTTCCCGTAGCAAGACAATGTCACCTACTTCCAACTTCTTCCACAGTGTTCGATCCCACCGCGCCATGCCGGTCGTTCGTTTGCGGTAGTCCACAACGCCAATACTTGAGCGGGATTTGACAGACTGTTGGTAGGCAGTTAGTGATCCAGAACCACCACGCCAAGACGTCATATCGTCTGGTGAATAGCCAACAGTGGAGGTACTTCCTTGCATGTCAATGCTCGCATTCGGCGGGTAGCTGTGCTCGTCCACGCTCTGAATATCATCCAGCCTTCGGCCCCCTGCACCAGCAAAATAAGCCTCCTCTCCAACCTCGTGATGGACGTCCTTGGTGGTATCGCTAGCCCGGCTGTCGTCTCCAACCTTACTAAGTACGATTTGCTTGCCCTCGCTGGCTTCCCTTTCCCTTAGTTTCCGCACTCCCTTCGTAACCTTTCCAGGAGGATTTAGGCCCAAGAGCTTCTCAAACCAATTACGCGGGTCCGTAGGTTGATTCACGTTCTTC